TAAATTCCGTCGCTAACAAACATCTTTGATTTATTTAGAATAGAAACTAACGACGGATTTTTCTGTCGCTACAAAATATAAAATTTATAAATAAATACTAAAAGTTGTAACGACGAATTTTCCGTTGCTAATCCGTCGTTCAAAATTAATTCAATTTGTCGCAGCCCTTTCGTTGTTAAATTCGTAGGAAATATTAAGGCGCCAACTTTTCGCGCTAATAAATACTGACGGAATATACAATCCGTCGCCATTCCGTCGCTATATAATAAATAAAAAAATTGCTTATTATTATTGCGACAAAATATTTATTCCGTAGTTAATCCGTCGTTATATAGCAACGGAATATATTCCGTCGCTGCATTCCATCGCTAAACGTTGTTTTTTTAGTAGTGATAATATCTCTAGATCTCTCAGCATGCATTTTTCACTTTAATTGACTGAAAACTGCAAGACTTCTGTTTGATCAAGCATCGATTTGGCGTTCTGTGCAGGTGGATTATCTGCTTGGAAAACAAGCTTACTTTGGAAAAACTGATTCAGAGGTGAGTTATTATGTATATTACTACTTCTTTTAGTTCATCATGATTAATGCTTCTTTAGCTAGTCATGTACTAATGTTGTTTTCGGAGTAGTCTAAGCTATTGAACAGAGTAAAATGATTGCTTTTCATCTAAGTAATTAGTAAAATGTGAAATATTCCAAGCTGATCGATAGAGTTCGTCAATGTCAATGTCAATGTCGTATAAAATGTTATTTCTGATAACAAGCCAGTAACATTTAATCTGTCTGTTTTTAGTTTATCCCGTTGGATTTCATAAATAAATAATGTATGATATGTTACTGTGAAATACGTTTATAAATAAATAATGTGTAATATGTTGGTATGAGATTTGGCACACTACAGGGTGGATTTGAATCAGATGCAGTGGCAACACATTTCTCAAAAAAATAGGTACAAATGAGATTCGAACCCGCAACATCAGCCTTGTAAAGTTGCCCTCCTACCGTGGCACCACAAGCCAGTTTTGTTCTGTGGGTGGCACACTTTATATTTATATAAATATTATATATATATACCTATGTATGTATAGAGTTTCCGTCGAAGTTCGGGGGTGGCGTGGCACCCCCACAGCCCTTCATAGATCCGCCACTAGTGCAACAGTGGAGGTAAACAATATTACTACTTGTCAGTATTAATAAGAACTGCTGATGGAGATGAAGGTGGAAAGCACCAATTAATCAGAGCCACAGTAAATGATGGCAAACTTTATATTTGCAAAGCACAAGCTGGTGACAAGAGATGGTTCAAGGGAGCTAAAAAGTTTGTGGAAAATGCTGCAACTTCTTTCACTCTTGCTTAAAAATGTAAAACAGTATGGTGCTAAATTGAATTGAATATGTCATTCCTATATTGAGCTCTTTTTATGCATTGTGCAAAATTCTCATTTACATATTTTTTTGTATCGTCTTTTTAAATCATTCAGATAGTTTAGGTAAAAATTATTTGAAGCACTGGACAAAGGCGGATCTAGAATAAGAAGAATTGATAAGATTGAGTTTAATTTCTACACAGGTGGCAACCAAAACAACATTGACCTCACCAAAGCTTGGCATAATGGCATAGCTTTTGATATCAATTTTAATGCTTGGAGATTGTTTCTTGGAAATTACCCTTTAATGAGGTGATTTCTAAATTTGGTAATCTGACAATTACTAATTGCTTTTATTGCCTGTATCTTCAAACTGGTTGGCAATAGCATACAACGTTCCTTTCGCTTTAGACATATCAAGAAAAGACAATTATTTTTTTCATGTTTTTACCTTAACATTAAATACTTATTCTCAAAATTATTTTTAAGACCTAATATTAAACATCATTTAATAAGGATAGTTTGATAAAATACCAATATCAATAATTGTTTTTCTTAATGGATGTGTCAAGTCAAACAGTGATAAGTAAAAATGAACGGAGGAAGTAATAAATAATACATAAAATAAATAATTGAAATATAGAGATCGATATATAGCCTTTATAAGTGAGGTTTAAAGTTAAGAGGATCAACTAATTAGATATAGTAAAATAATGAATAATACAAAAAATAAGTAATTGAAATATAGAGATTGGTGTAGTGTAACGACCACTTTCTGTTGTTATGAATGGACCAATAGTGAAAGATTTTCAGAAAACTTTTTAGATAGTAACTTGAAAATTTTAGGTTAGGCCAGCCTAAGATGAAATCAGAGCAAAGTCAGGTCTAGGACAATCTAGGGAGGAATTGGGGATATTGTCTAAGCTTGGATTGTATTTTCTTCTAGCTAAGGTGTTAAGGAGTCCCTAAGGCTTTTCAGAATCAAATTCAGGTAAGTAGAACTCCCGATATCGAACTTGGCTTGAAGGGGTTAGTGTCACACCCCGAGCCTACACCCTAGGCGGGACCGGCACTCGAAGTCCATTGCTGGCCCCAAGTGAATCCTTGGCCTGGCTTTCTTAACTCAGCGGAAACCTAACTCAACAGAATAACTCCATGCAATGAAAGGGTCATAAAACAACTTAACTGATAAAATCTGGCCAAAAAGGCAACTCTTGTCTCAAAATAGAATATTTACATATATACATAGATGAGAGACTCAATACTAATTGACTGACAGTCTGTCTATGAAGCCTCTAAAATACTGAGATGGATGTTGGGACAGACCCCGCAACATCCTAACAAAACAAAACTAAGAACACAAAATAACAGAGTCCTCCGGAAAACAGGGAGGCTCACCACTGACTCTGGAGTGCTCAGCTGGATCAACGCGTGCTGGATACTGATCCTGGGTACCTGTGTCTGCATCATAATAAGATGCAGGCCAACTGGCATCAGTACATTGAATGTACGATTATGCGAGCTGGAAAGCTAAACAACAACTTAAGCTAGAAAGGAATACAAAGGAACTCCTACCTTGGCTATGCTCGACTCATGAATAACCGAACTCAATATAAAGCAATAAGACACATGCAATATATATATGCTTGTAAAACAAAGTAAACAACTTAGTTCGTTAAGGATAAAACAATAACAAACTCAACCTTACTTATATAAAAGTAATATAACTTTAGTGGGAGATTCTTTAACCGACAACCACCGCTATGAGCCCTAGTGATGATACAATGTTTTACCTCACGTTGCCCAAGGACCATCCTATACCTTGCCGTGATATAGGATCTTACTTAACTTAGTGGATCCACTAGCTTAATCTTACGTGATCATCTAAAAAGAATGACCCGTTAATTCCCATGTTTGGCTACATGGTTCTTATGGAGAGTTGAGTAAATATGAACTCGCGTCCCCAATTCGGTGCTCAATACTACTCCCAAAATACTTTAGCTCATAAGTGTTTTAAACATATCTTTCTTTAGTTTGAGATAATTGCTCAAAATCTAGCCCAAAGGCTCACTTGGAATTGATGTTCCTTTTTCTTGAAAAACTAGCCCAAAGGCTCTTTTGGAATCATAGTTCCTTTCTTACTCAATGTAAAAACATTTAGAACCTTCTTTCGGAATACATAGTTCCCTAATAACTTTTGAGAAATGAACTCAACTCTATACTCTTGGCTTAACTTGAAACTTGAGCCTTAAAAACGAAGTTAAAACGTTTAATAAAGACTCTTGAAAACTTTAAGGACTTGCTTTGACTTGCTTCTTAACTCCTAAACTTGACTTCTAACTTCACTTGACTTTGATCGTAACTTTCCTCGAATTGGAGTACGGATTTGAGGGTGATGATCTCATGTTAATGGATGAATTCGGGATCTTTAGATGTACAGTGTTTAAAACAACTATAAAACATAGGTACATTACCAAGGAACATGTATGAAAAAGTGGGGAATGAATGAGAAAGGTTAGCGTCCTTGGCGGTCTGAGAGGCACGGGGCGCCAGACCACAAAGTTCAGAAGGGCTTGGTTGGGGCTCTTCTAGGCGCGCCACCCCAAGGGCTGGGCTTCAGAGCCCCTTTTGGGGGGCGCTGGCTGGCGCGACGCACCAGCCCTTTTTCCCCGAAAACCCAACTTTTCTCCTTGTTTTTCCAACTCTAAACCTTCTTAACTTCAAAGGTTCCAGCCCCAAACACTTAGAATCATAAAACCCCTTAATATACAACGGATACAACTCGAAATAACAACCGGAAACATGCACCCAACCAACAAGAAACTTCAACAACACAACCAATCT